AAAATGAATTCAAAATTTAAAACACAAAACTGAAATTACTCTTCAAGTAGGATGAAAATATATACAATATAGTGTTAAATTCTCCCATTCAATTACATTTTTTTTTTTTTAATAAAAAATCATTGCTTATATAATGACTTAGGTATTAATGGCGAGCTAGGGAGAAAAATACCTAACACCCTTTGTTGTAGGTATTGCTAGATGAGAAAGGGCGACAAATTGAGGAAGCATTTTTTTACACCATCTCAAAGCAAAAGTTCGTGGCAAAACACGAAGATGGCGAGTTGCTAGAAATAACAAGCAGCATTTTTTTTTTAATTAAACCACCCCGACGGCGAATTCTTTAGTCACTAAAAAAAATAAACAAGTTAGGAGGGGACATAAGATCTTACCTCCGATTAACTGCATAAGCAGCTTAATAGACCCTGACTGGTAAGAATCATTCAAGTAAATTGTTCATAAATGTGTTTTTCTGAAAGAAAAAAATGAAGAACAAATTAAAAACAAATAAGTGTTTATCAGAATGTATTCCTAATAGGACTGCTGGGTCGAACTTAAACGAGAATATATATATATTACATTGTTGCTGTCATCTGTAAGCAGTTATTCCTAATAGTTTTGGACAAAAAATGTAGAATTTGGGTGTATAGGTTAAATCATATCGCGAAACCTCACTCAACTACGAAGAAAAACATGCAATTAAATCACACAACTTTGCGTAAATTGTCAATCTTCATCACTTGAAATGCACAATCTTTTGGAGAACGAGAATCCTTTATCTTAATTTCAAGTTAAACATTCCCTTGGAAGAATTCAACGTAAAGGCGGTGATATGTTATCGAATGGTGAAATTTGAACACATTATGAACTAATGGAAATAAAAGCTGTATTAAGTAGATCATATAATACCATGCAGGTAATCAGTTTCAAATTATACAGCTAAAAGCTTAATCATAGTATCAAATGGACAGATTAAAGACAGTGTTCAAGTCTAGTCACCACCCGTTTAAAATGCATACATTTCATACTTTTTGATAAAGAGAAAAATGGGATCTGATAATGAAGTGATACTCTATGATTAGGCTACTGGCTGAGTTTATGAGTATGGCTGACTAGTCCAATTTTGCAAGCATGCAAGGAGTATGTACAGCTTTTGATGAAATAGAGCAAAATGAAGATTGTTCATCATTTTCTACTGTGAAATAGTGTGTTCTCAACTAGTAAATGTCCCCCATCTTACAATCTCAGATGCTTTAAACTAAAAGATTTACCAAAAAGGTAAGTTTTTTGCTCTCTTATAGTATCTTAATTAAGACAACTGAATTGAGGAACAAACTATCAGTACTATAAAAGAACAAGGCTGGAGATAAAGAAAGGGGATTGATGTTGGAGAAAGGGGGACGGGTCATGACTCGTGTGGGCTGATTAGATCTGGAAGCTGAATGATGGTTCAGATGGAGTATTTAATTCTAAAGTTAACTATAGCTAAGATGATCTTTGACCTTCCATAACTTTTCTAACATTAGGTATTTGATGGTCGAAATGGAACCAAGAATCAAAATTTAGCTTTGACGACACCACTAGATTTTATGCTGTTTCTATATTTCTGATCATGACCCCACTAGATTACATAAGATTTATCTTTGATTTCTTCCATTAAAAAAAACTTTCTTTTATGCTTATAAATAATCTTGAGAAAATGAATAGGATAAAGTAACTTAAATTTAGGGAAGATAAATTATTTTACCATTCGACGAGGTGCAATAAAGAAATTGTCACAGTCTGAAATTGCAAACCCAAAATTATTTTTAAGACAATGAAGAACTCGATGTATAAAATTATGGAAAATAATCTATGGATTATCTGACCTTTTTTAACCTAATATTGTCCCCTGCCAATTGAATTTCCATTCCATGCACCATCCATTGGCAGCTGGCCATTAGGCATATTCATTGGTAAATTCAAGAAAGGAAGCCCTGAAGATGGATCAGAAAATTGGTTGCCAATACCTCCTCCACCACCACTAGACGGCTGTGGTGGCTGAATCTGGACCACCTCGTTTTCCTCCAAGGGCAATCTCTCATACGCTACGTTAGTGAACGAGGCCGCAATGATAATAACCGGTCCTGAAGCAACCAAAGCACCCACAACATTTCCTCCAACAACCTGGCCTTGTCCACCTGACAAATATATTGTCAAACTGGTGGCTCCAGGCGGCGCTGGTGGTGGCAAGAAAGAGCCAGACAAGGATAATATCTCGAATTTTCCCTGCAGTACCACCACTGAACCGACTGCCGTAGGCTGCCTCAAGCTCACGTTGTTGACTGTGCCTGTTCCGCTCAATATACAAATCCCTTTCTGCTTCTTCCTTGCATAGGTGGCCACGGCCTCAAACACATCACAGCCACTGCCCACCTCCAATATATGTGCACGAAGCGTGTTTGCGCTTTCTCGGGTTATGATCACAGGCGGTTTTGGCTTGTTCTTAGCACCCGGCGGCCGGCCTCTTTGTCTACGCGCCCCCACACCACCGCCTGAACTTGTATTCGAAGTATCAAGTTCAAGGCCCTGATGATGGATATTATCATTATCATTTTCGCCAGAAAATGGGTTTTGATTGTCGTCTTCCTCGACGGTGTCCTGTGGTCTTTGGAGGTGGAGATCAGCCCTGTGAAGCTGAGAAACAAAGTGAGAAGAACCTAAGTTCAAACCAGCCATAGAGTACAACAAAGATAACAAGAAACAAAGAAAAATAAAGTATGATAATTGATCTAACTAAAAATTAACTGAATTTTTTAAGAGTGAGTAAATTAAACCCAGAAATTCAAACCCTAGATCGAATAGAATTAAAACAAAGGGAATCAACTGGGGGAGAAAGGAAGGGATGAAGAGAGAGAGAGAGAGAGAGTAGCAGACGCAGACAAATTAAAGGAAACATATATAAAGATATAAAATATACAATGAGCATATACAAATATGAAAGTAAACTTTATTGATTAAAATATGACTATAAAATATTTTGATAACATGGTAAGTATTATTAAGCAGGACAAGAATAAGCAGTTTTACAAAAAAAAAAAATTAACTTCTTTTTCTTTTTTAATACAAACATTAGCAAAATCAGACTATATAATAAGTGAGGAAAAGCAGCAGGGTGTAGGAGATGCCATGATAAGGGTGCATATGATGTAGCGTGTGATTATGATTTCTCTCTTCTCCCCCAACAACAATATTATTTAAATGCACATATTTCGACTCAACAACTAAAGCCAGAAGCCCCCACCCCAACCCACCCCACCCCA